TCTTTCTTATGTGGGACGTACTGGCAGAAGGCGACTTTACACAAGCTACAGCTAGCTTCTAAAACTCAATTTTTGACCAGCACACATTAAACCAAAAACGTAAACAAAGAAATTCATTACAGGTAATAAAGTAAGTGGAATCAAGTGTTAGGTGTGAGAGAAATAACGAGAGGGAACAAAAGAAAGAGATCCAGAAACGTCACTCAGAAATCATTTACGCGTAGACGATGGTAGCTACATCTTTCGATAAGCATATCTCAGCTCATAATGGACATTATCAATGAAGGCGAAATCTATCGGAATCTAAAGTCTTCGCTAACAAAATGCAAGTTTTCCTGTTCTACGACAAGAAAAGCTCGATTTCGTTCGAATTTCGCCTTTAAATAAATGTGAGATGAAAACTACTCTTTGAAAAACTCACTACTTTTTTTATAACGATAGGGCAAAGTACCTTCAACTGTGCCAAGTTATTATCTCCTAGCTCCTCTAGTTAGCAAAAAAAATTAGGAGTCATAAAGCAAAACCACTGCTAATGAGCCTGTGATAGACTATGTTCCTAATCCTCAGTTGATGGTTAAGGGTTTAACATGCCCCAAACAAGGGCTTCGTAGCATACAATTACGGGGACAAACTCCATCTGATTCTCTGGTTATCTTCACATCGTGTAAGGCTACAAAAGTGTGATCATCAAAACCTTCGATGAAAATATGAATAATAGATTACACCCATTCGGTACTAGGTGATACTCACCGAGTTATAATGTTCCTTCTAAAGTCGTGAAGGATTTTCTATTTGTGCTTCCATAAATAATGTCTCCTTGAAAAGGACATACGACTGGAAATTTATCATACACATACATTTCACTGAATATCTAAGATAGGAAAAGAGGGGTCGAGTCGACACTGTAGGAATGTGGTAACAAATCTCAAGAATGGCTTCCTTCTGACCTCGGCATTGATCAATAATTCACTGTTTTTTTTGATAAGATAAAACGGCCTTGTTACTACAGCATCTCTCCATCTACAAAAACTGACGTTTGGCCGATTACGCTTTCTTGGAAGCATGTAAGAGTCAAAGGGATTTGCAATACACTCAGTCAGATGCTCTCATTACCTCAGATTTTATATTCCGTCTTTTCCAAGGTATAGTGTTTATCTCGGATTCGTTTAAGAACGAAATATCTGATTACCGATCTACTGTCTCTGCTACTCTACTGTAGATGTACAGATGACAGCCTCGCCACTTTCTCAACTCAGGAGACAAGCAAATGCTTTGAATTATTGGATGAGCAGTCTGAGTATATTAAATTCACCCGGGAGAAACCAAGAGAAAATTAGATTCCATTTCTTAACGTTCAAATTAACCCATCAGAGAGCGGCTAGATAACAAAGTGGTACCGAAAACCAAGTAGCCATCCTTGTTCATTTCCTCTCCTCCCGCCTTTCACACACAAATAGGCTGTGAGAAACATGTTTCGAACAGCCACCTTGTGTGCACGAAGAGGGAACTGAAAGAGAATTTGCGCTACTCGGCTCGGTAAATAGCCATCTCCAATGGATAAGAAGTAGTAACCCCACGAGATAACTTTAGAAGGAGAAAGATGCCGCAAAACGAAAGACGTAGCTAAAACAAAACCCTCTGTTTATCTTGTTCTTTACTAGCGATGACGTAAATGTAACTATAAAACGATGCTTAGGAAGGGCAGTCTAGAGGAAATGGTAGCGATTGTTGGAAAAAAAACTATCCTATACTCTTCGTCGTCGCTTAGCTTGCAGCCCTCTATGTTGCCGTCTATATGAAACAGAGAATTGTGCTTATGACGGAGACAGAGAATGCATGAGACGCATAGGGCAAAAGCATAGTGGAGACCATTTTGATACGAAAGTCACTATCCTCGCACAGGATGCCAAAACAACGCGCAATGATCACGAGGCTTTTTGGATAAATATCAAGGATCGCAGGATGAATAGCAAGCAGGAATGCATGACGTCACACGTGACCTCGCTTCATACCTTCGCATCAACTTTTGATGTGAGGTGGTGCTGTCATCAAGAATATTCCACTCTGCTCAGCTGTTCTTCCCCAGGAAGGAACGGAAAAACGATAGGTTTTTCAAGAAGCTATTGATCGTGTAATTGCCATTTAGATTTTCATCTGCTGTTTGTGTTATTGAAGTTGCGTAATAAATTACACATCAATGCACCCTTCCAGACTCTGAAGGCGGTGCTGCCGAAACGTCAGCTTTACCGGGATAAAGAGTAAAGTAGCTCCTTGTGTTTACTCAAGAAGAATATCGCGAATTATTTTATCAATGCCGAAGTGAGTAGAAAGTCGCTCATGGGTATTATTAAAGACGAAGCCTCGAGGGAAATGCAGTTACTGTCGTGGGAAACGAAGAAAACATGTAATTCGTTAGTGAAAACCTTTACATCCCCATAGTTTTTATTTCAACTGGTAAAGACCATTACGAGCTTTCGATCATCCGATTCAGACGGTCACTATCAACTGCTTACGTGAGCGTCCAAGCTTCTTCACCGCCAAGGCTGAATAGTTGCCTCCCTGAACCCCTAATATGCGTTCGGAAGCGGTCCCATGTTTTAAAATTTGATGACACTTCAAGTTGCTTCTGCTAAGATATGTCAACGTCTAAATACATGAAGCAAAACGGTTCGTTTCTTTGACAGTACTATTTCATAGCGCTTAAAATCATTGTATAATGTGTTCATGTTCTCAATGGCAAATTCCTATACAGTAAACAAGTTTTAGAATGATGTACCACAACAATGCATCTAAAAAATATTTATTCAGAAACGTGTTGGCAAAGTTTGCACGGAGAAAAATTTACATTGTTTTTCAACCAGTCCTTTACAGCCAGTTCTGACCATTGATAATATTGTATGAGATTTCTTAACATTGTGCAAATAGAACGAAATTTCAGAAATACATAAATAACCCGATTCTTTTTTAGTGTAAAGTGTAAAGTCCAAAAATCCTATCTATACTGGGATTTTTATGAGATGAAAAAATTGTAATAATGCCTCCGACCTAGGAAAGAACGTATAAATGCGATGAAATCATGATGATACTGAAGGAGGGATAAAAACAGACAAATACGGATAGAAAGTGAGAAAAAATAAAGAAAATGAGGCAGATATAGAATATGAACAACAAGTACGAATATAAAGGAGATATTTCGAAACCGACTTTCCTTGAACCTCGGTATCACTAATCAATATGTATTCTTTCTTTCATGAGCTTACACGAGGTTGATAATGATATTTATTCATTTTCGGCTAACGTTTCGACGTCTTCGTCTTCCTCAGAGCCGATGATCTGAGTCGATGGTCCTTGCTTGTTGTTCGTCTCGACGTTGCAGCTTCGCCTTCGTGTCGAGTCAGGTCTTCCTCAGTGAGCCATCTTCTCGAATCTTTCTCTGAGGAAGACGAAGACGTCGAAACGTTAGCCGAAAATAAATAAATATCATTATCAACCTCGTGTAAGCTCATCAAAGAAAGAATACATATAAAGGAGATAGTTGTACAGAAAAACGCTGCCAATTGAAATGTACATAATCTTCCTTCAAAAGTAAAGACAGATCAGTTTATTTAAAGCATTTTAAGAGGCAGTGCATGCTATTTCGCTGATAACAGCATATACATGGTCAAAGACAGAAAGGCGTGGATTCCGCTCAAGTTCTCTCTGATAAGACGTCAGTGCCTTATATACTGCTCCTGAAAAGGTGGAAAAACACTTACAAAAGTCAAAACCAATTGCAAAAAATGTCTTTTACCACTGAAGACGCTTGCCATCTAATCCCTACCTACGGTTGCTTTCTTCTGAATCATCTTCTCATATTGTTCATTCGCAGAGTACTCGAATGAGCGACTACTGAACGTGTAGTAAATCATATCCCGCCCAGCATGCGCTGCTGCCATCATCTGGATCAGAACTGTAAATATTTAATATTTCTCACTACTACTACTACTGCAAGAACCAAAGAATCGAACTAAATTCTATTACAAGGGAAGTATTTAAAATAAGTGACATTTTCTGAACATACTTTTCAACTCCTTGTCTCCACCGAATACTCCACAACCCCAATTTCCAGTAGCAACCGGAGGTGCTTCCCGTTGTGTTGACATAAAGCCAGCATAAGCCTTTAAATTATATTCAAAAAGGTGAAAAATCAGAAAAACGAAACAAAACGACCCAGCAAAGACATCCATTAATAGCTGGATAAAAGAATCACAGCAAACAGAGAGGAAAGATATTAGAGTGCATTTATAGTCCAAAACGAATAGGTCCAAGCAGTAAACAGGTCACGAATTAAAGCGGCTGTGACTGGACATCACTTATTAAAAACAGTACCTTATTAAGTTCCCTATCGATATTCACCTTATCATACTGACTTCGCTTGGAACTGGCCTTGAACAGAGTTGCATCCATAGCTACGACCTCACATTTTACTCGACTACAAATTTCATGTTATTGATACCACAATGGGAACAAAAATCGCCCTAAAGAACATTCCCCACCAGAATTCGTCCCTCGGCTCCGACCCATATTCCTCGTAGGGAGCCCAACAAAGTGTTTCTCCTTAAAGAGGAAAATACTTGCAGAACAAGTTGTGTTGATAAAAGAAATCTACTGAAAATACAGAATGGCAAACATTTATGTAAAAAACATTGAAGAAAACGAAAGAGGTATCCCTCAAAAACAGTTCGCTGAACACTCGACCAACGAAAAACCTACAAAGTGACACCTATTTTTCTTTTACAGTAACCCACTTACTGAATTATACTACAAATTCCTTTTTGTAACGCTCAAACCAGTTTGTACCATGCTTGGCCTTACGTTGGGGTGGAATACGTATTAACAGCACCGCCTGGCCATAGGGGCTTCAGATATACTCCAACCCCAGAAGCATCACTTATGCAACAATAAGTTCTACATTAACGACAACCTCTAAAACGAGCTCGTTAACCCTTCGTAGGGCCTACCTAAAAAGAGGCAAGCTATGCTTGATAATTATGGCTGATATATCGTTTACTACAACCCTATCCTGCACTGAGGAAACCTAGAATGAAAATGTGAGCAAAATCGACAAAGACTTTTATTCAAAGCTTACAGTGTTCAATGAGGAAGGTGATAACGAATAAAATGAGCACCTGTAATTGCGAAGATGAAATCAACAACTACAAAACGTTGACTATATGACTTACCGTACCCAACGTAGCTACTATAGCGTTGAGCCCCAACGATATGAACCACTTCGAGAGGACCCATTTTCTCACATAACAGACATGAAACGATCATCTCGGGACAAATTAGGAATCTAATCTCTTCCTGATGAAAATAAAAAAAAAAATAGACCAGAATGTACAGTATAAATTGGGTATGAGAAAACGTACTTGGACAGCTCCCCAAGTCAGCACACCTCCTCCAATATATTCGTTAGCAAAATCAACTTGAAGACATCCGTATGCATCCTCAATTGAGGTATCACTTGCAGTCGCCATAAGAGGCATCTAAAGCGTTAGAATTGCATTATACTAGTTATTATACAGTTATACTAGTTCTGCAGATGCTAATAATAATGGTGAACAAACTAGAGTTTGGTCCTCTTCCCAATTAGGGACTAACTCTGGTGGAAGCGCTTCACGCCGGAATGAAACACATCCAGTTGGCATCTTCTTTAGTATAATCGAAAAATAATGGAGAATAAAACGCAGTTTGACATAGCACATGGGGTTCTGGTCATCAAAAATACTGAAAAGTATGTAACGACCGAACGGTACTTATGGTGGTAAGTAAATTCTTCATATGAAAAGCTCATTCGTTAAATACCTCGCCATATTTATACGATTGAAATTGCGGCGTTCTCGGCGATATGTACAGAAAAATGCATGAGCAAGTAAACATGCGCATTGTTCTTGACTAAGTGTTACGGAGCCATAACGATTTGCGCGGAGAAGTGGTACAGGCTGAACAGTGGAAATAAAGTAAATGTTGCGTTCGGATTCAGTTTTGAAAGAAAACAGAATCTCCAACGCGTTTTGTTTCGAAAACGAATTGAAGAAAAACACATACTTAAATTTAAAACACCAGGAACAACCGACCTCAAGGCTGATACCATGGCCTTTTTGGCATTAAAAAATTTTATAGACAACATGTTCATCTTCAATAAAGAAGATGGAGCAAAAACAAAGAAATAAAGCAACATACCGATGTGAGGATAAACTTGGCGTTCACCGCCAACCTAGCAATGCCAGCCATAACATCGAGAACTTCTCGTTTTGCGGAAGGAGATAAGCCATCCATAAATTTGAGTAGACCATTAAACGATTTTAGCCAAGGAGCACATTCTCGAAGCGTCACCTTGAAGAGGAGCATGGTTAAGAATTTCAAGCAGAAACACGAAACATCTACAAAACAACACTGCCTCAATGAAGCAAAAGGTTCACTTACAATGACAGCTTCAATGCAGTGTGCACCGTCATGAACAAGAGCACGTAAAGCTCTATCAATGATGATGTAACTGAAATGACATCTTAAACATAAAAACTACTTCTCAGCCAAATCTAGGCAAGAATTTCGTCCCTCCATTTAGAATAAAAGTTGTTAAAACCCACTGGTGAAATCCGCTAACAATATTGGCAGAGGACCATGGAAGTCTGACAAACTCTGTTGGATTTCCAAACTTTAAATCTGTGTTTTCGCATGTTTCTGGTGAAGACATAGGAGGTCTATCTGCAATTTACTCATTACTGGCCTTAGTAACTAGAAAAACAATTGTTATTGTGGTTGAACATTAAACCAATACCAGGACCCACCACCGTCCTGGTATCAAACTAGTCGCGTGATGGTAAAGTTCCCTCTGATCCACAAAGGCGGCAACTGCCTGTGGCTGTGACGATCTGGGGCAGACTGTAGCTAGGCTGAGTTTGGGACTCCAGGGAAACACAAGACCTAAACCAGTAAAACTCCGAAGTGGAAACTATGCTGGGCCCCGCACGACCAGTGAAGGCGGGTTATCCAAGTATCTAAGTAAGTTTTGTGGTTGCACATTTTTCTACACATTTAAACTTAAAGACTCTCTTAACCTTTTGACAATAAAGAATTAGTAGAAAAAATCCAATCTTTTAAAGAAGTTGGTTGAATTACAGATCACTAGGTATACTATCTAACACTAGTGGATCACTTAAAGCAATTATCAATATATTTGTTAACCAATATTATCACCATATTACCAACAGTTACATTAATACTTATATTACCAATTAAAAACCTAAACCTATCGTCATTGATCAATCGCGTCATGCATTCGACTTCTTTAAGCATCGTTTGGAGGTGACTGAATGCATATCTCGCCTTTACAATGACCCGCGGTGGCCTATCGATGTAACATCCCAGTGCTGCTATCCTCGCAGACAAGTCTGGTACTAATTTACCGACCTCGGAGGGACACAAGGCTTAGTGGAGCATGAGCACGGGGATCGATTCCAGGTCTGTATTGCAGGGCGCCTCCGACCACTGCGCCACACGCGCTCTGATATTACCATGTAAGTGTACACAACGAGTAGAGGTCAGACATGGAACGCGCATAAACACTCCTTCGTTTGAATCATACCCCTTGGTCAATGAGGACCTTTATCCCTTGGGAAAGATCAGTTAACTAGTATCAAACTGATCTGCGAAGGTCAAAACATTGACTTGTTTATTGATTCATTAAAACCATAAAAAGTGGAAGGAATAGTTACAGTTGAAAACACCATGAAGAAGATAGGGAGAAATCTTCTTAAAGCTGAACAGCTATCTAAACTCCCCCAAGCTGAGGAGTTCGACATTTCTATCCAGAAGGTGAACCAAGAAAAAACAAATGCATAGAATCACCGCCGTTCTAGTAGCAACGTAGTCACAAGGGGCAAACCTACCTCTGATTCATTAGTACTGTAATTTGTCAATAACAACAACTTGTGAGAGCAACAACACTGTTTTTTAAAAATTGCAGGAACATAAAGTAGTTCTGTATCGAGAAATTACCGGGCAAGCGGAAACTGCTCTGAGGTGGGCAAAATTCGGTGTGAAGACGGGTGATTCAAATATTCGAATATCGCTACCACTGTTTTATCCGTGCTCTATTGAACTTCCACACTCAGAATGACTTACACAACAAAACAGCAAACTAAGCTACAAAGATGTTACTTACTTAGTTACTTGGAGTTAGACTGCTCGTCCTCACTGATTGTGTGGGCCCCAGAATATTCTCCACTTTTCGGCGTTTTGCTGGCTTAGTTATTGTTTCCCCGGAGTCCCGAGGTCAGCCTGGTCAGACCGTCCCAGGTCGCCACCACCACGGGCGGTCGCCGCCCCCGTAGATCGTAGGGAGATTTGCGACCATGCGAGTGTTTGATACCACCAGGACGGTGGAGGACTTTGGTACTGGTTTATTCTTAGCTGAGATTCCTGATGGAAACGCCGGACTCCTTTTTGGCTTGGGAGACCCTGCCAAGGCGATGGATCTCACCGCTATTCATCGCAGCCCGACACCCAGTAACACCTTCCAACTATTATGAGGTAAAGCGCTAGGAGGAGAGATGTTACTAACCTTTCGAAATCGAAGACACTTCAAAAGCGCAATAATCGCAATTTGATGGCAATTTTCCAAGATTAGGAAGGTATTCTAAAATAATAAAACATATGACTTTGCAATCACGCTGATGTATATTGTATTAAAATTACCATGTAGCAAAAAAACAGTATGCACAACACAAAGTCGATTTATTCGAACTCACGCACCGAAATTATTCTTCGCCTTAGTAAGAATCATTGTGAGTCGTCGTGAGTTACAAAGTTCCATTTTGCGCGACGAATATAGTAAAGTCGAAACAGACCTTGATCTGAACAGAAAGCAGAATACTTGCATATCGCTACCATGCAATGAAGACCAAGGCTGCAAGATGAAGTAACAGAGGACGATGTCGTATGTAAACTAATGTCAAGGAACCACCAACACAACGTTTATGCGGATGAGGAGTAGAAATCAAAGACTGAATGAAACTCTAATCCAAAAAAAAACTTAGGTCGAATAGTTAGTAGAAGCTAAACATTACTTCCTTGAAATAATCGAAACAACAGAAAATAGAGGAAATCAGACAAATATTACGAAATTAACAGTGCACTTCAGTTTTCACCACCAAGAAACTGAATGATGCAACTACAACAAGACTTATTAAGGATCTCCAATCTCTTTTGTTTCACATTTTATAACATTTCTGTAGATATCCTGCAGACGTTGACAATGGCAGCGTTAGGTAGAAAACTAGCTGAGAGAAACGCACAGCAAGGGCCTCCGTAGTGCAGTGTGTAATACGCGAGCCACCGGAAAGGGTAGTCGTGGTTCGATCTGGCCCGGGTCCAAGTTTTGCGAATACCTCAGCATTGTTATGGTTGTATTTCTTCAAGTACTTCCTGCTCTCGCTTCATCTAATTTCGCATGATTTAGTTTGATTATAGAAACGGAAATTGAGAAACTAGTTCACTAAACTTCATGGTCAAGGCTAGGAGACGTAAATTGATGCGAAAGGAATCAAACTTAAAATGCCTTTTGTTGCAGTAATTTAATACACAAAGCCTTACGCATATTTCATTTCATCCGAACTATCAGGACTTTTCAGCATAACACGAATAAAATGCTGAAAACCAAGAAAGTCATGAAACATATAATTTGAAAAAAAAATGGTTAGATCCTACAGCGTGGATCAATCTTTCACAACACCATAAACATAAAAGGGAAAAGAACGACAATGTCTATGAAATTCCTACTTCGACACTTGAATGGCCCGTCCTTAGCGGTTGTGCGGACCCCAGCATAATTTCCATTCGTCGGATATTTGCTGACAGCCACTGCGGTTCCCTGGAGGCCCGAGAACACACGGACCAAAGTCTGCCCCAAATCGTCACCACCACAGGCAGTTGCCGCCCTTGTGGATCAGAAGATTTGCCACCATGCAACTAGTTTTGTACCAGGACGGTGGTGTATCCTGGTATTGGTATACTCTTAGCTGAGTTTCCTAATGGGAACACCGGACTCCTCAGCATGGGAGATTCTGCCGGGGATGATTCTTACCGCTGGACATCAGCCCGACACCCATGAGCATTTCTCTGAGGCGGTAAACCGACGGGGGTAAGAAATGTTTACGATCATAAAACAGGCAACCGAATTTTTCCTACCCACTCGAATTGAGGATGGATAAAATCAAGTTGCAATACTACGCTGAACCTGGATACCGCAGTTAGTATCGTAAACACACTTCTAATATAAGCTTGAATTTTAAGATCAAAGATCTTAAACCGAAGTAAAGACGCAGCAATATCGTCTACTCCAGTACATAAAATGATTCCGTTTTATTGAAATTATTTAGATTGTAAATAACAAGCATGGATCCACAACCAGAATAAGGAGAGAAATGACTGAAAAAGAACAGTTCTTAGAACGAAAAACGTCAATCACTTTTACGATAGCATGTACTTACTTGAACGGACTGACTCGTTCCGAAAAGACATCATTTACACAGTTTGAAGGTGTCTTCGTTATACTTCCTATATCGTCGTTTGCAATTTCCACACTAGCATTTCGACAGGAAAGATTTGAATTTCGAACGGTTCCAGACTCTTCTCTAGAAATTCTTCCCTTGTCGAAACCTCCCATTTCTTCTGTATGACCACTTAACGAGTAAGAACCAAACATAGCCAGTTTTTCTATGGGGCTGTTTCGCGAGCACCAAGACATCGACGTGAATGGCACTGCAGTCGGATCACACAGTTCCTCACTTGCATTACTCTCTTCATCGTCAAGTACACTCGAAGAACGAAATTGGGTAAGATGCCTAAAAACACAAAATTGAGAAATAATACGTTTTTGAACAAAGGAAAAAGTATGTAGCGACTAACATTTTACCCACACTGGTTGTTGGCGAAGTTTCCGCTGAAGATAGACACTGTCGCTGACCACACTCCTTGACTGTCTCGGCTTCCTCTA